TGGCCCCGTACAGGCACCGCTCGTTCAACATCGGCTACGCTTATTCCCAGCGTCAGCGCCCACACAACGGCCTCCCCACGATCCCCTCCGGTTCTGCAGCTCCCGCTCCCCCCCCCGCGGTTCCCGCAGAGGAGCCCCTGGTCGACGACCGCTCAGTAGAGGTAGAGCTGGCCGCCGGGAAACCAGACCCCCACCCCAAAATGAGTGGTACGACTGGCGTCAAAACCTTCCGGAGACGACTCCCGCTGGCTTTACCCATCCCTTAGCGATCGCCACCCGTGGGGTTCTCTGGTGCGTTCGCGTCCCCCCAGATATGCGAATATAAACCAACGAATGCACCACCAGCGAGCTCCCTCTCGACAAATATAGGCCAATTGCCCCTGGGGCATACCACGCTACGCGCTGGGTCCGCTCGCTCTTTCCCATCTATATCCGTGGCTTTCCTACTTCGATGAACAAAATCCCGGTCACGGAGCTTCAAACGCTCGAAGCGGCGATCGCATTTCGGGAAACCTCCTTGGACATTCTCAACAAAACCCTTCGCGGGGAATACCAGGAATTTAGTCCACAAATGAACAGACTCCACGCGAATCTTATTTCATCCACATTGGCACCCCCTCGCATCGGCGACACTCGTCCGGTACTGTACCAGGTGGTCGCTACAGGTTATGGAGCCGGCGTCATACTAGAAGCTAAGGAATTTTTTTGTGATAGGACCGGACCGCCGCGACTTGCACTGTGTTGTTCTTGAACCATTCGCTGTCGATGTGCTTACGGACAAGCGTGGTTTTGACCAGACCCTAGTATCCATCAAAGATCTGGTTTGGGTCTATTCTGTTACGCCGATGCGGGCTGCTTTGCAGGACCCTGCAGCTACTTTGGCCGCATCCCGCATACCACGTGCCACTGCGTTAGAGAATTCGTCCAAATACTTTTTCCGTGTAGATCGCTTCGCTTTCATAACACCGCACGTAAACCCCGACCCAAGCGTTGGGGATTGTAGTCGCGCCCTTATTATTGCACACGGGCGAGATTTAGAAGTAATTCTGGCGACAGTATTTTGAAGGTGCTCCCGAAGCCGTGCGCGCCGTAACGCCGTCATTGTGTGCTCGTAACCTTGAGGATCTGTACCAGTACTCACTGGTGCTGGCTCAGACTCGCCTCAACTCTTCTTGCGCTATACGGTTTTCAGAACCACCCGTGTCGGAGGGAGCGCGGGACGAGTTGAGCCAGTTGGTTCGCCGCTTCTTACCAGTTAATACAAGCGAAGCTGTTTCTCCCATGCGCGTGATGAATCTCACCGACGCCGATAAAACATGGCTGACCGAACCGCGTCAACGATTTTGCGAGTTACCGAACTGAAACGGAATGCGTCCAATCGTCATATGGGACCGCTCTTCAATGTGTCTTGCGCCACGCTCGCCGCTTTGGCCACGATCCGCGATGATACCACCGTGCGGTGGGTCACTCTCACACTGCCACAAGGTAGCATGTGCCCGATCCGCTTCTGACTTCATTTTGAGCGACATGGCACACGAGGCAGGCTGGGCTAGAGGCCGTATGGTAGATTTCTGGGTAGCTGGCGCCGACCAAACCACAAAATGCGGCGGGTGGACTCCACCTTTTTGCATCACCGCCTTGTACTTGGAACCACGCATCCCTCACTGAACTAGTGGATACGCACGGACAGATGCGGGACGACCACCGCGTGATAGAGGGCTACGTCCGCCTCGGAAACTCACAAAATCTGCTAATGCGGCGAATGAAGCCGTTTCGCGATTGCTTCACATCGTAGAACGGGTGCAACCGGGTACAACGGGACACCGTATCCTGGATACAGTGTACCGCAAGGTCTCTGCGCCTCCCCCTCCGCCAGCGGGAACCGACCGTCGCGAACCTCTCTGAAATCCTCTCCAGTTACCTTAACACGGACAACATGTCAGTAATCACGGCTTACAGCCTACCATACGTGCCGCCATTGCACTCGCAATGGCAGCACATCCCATTTCCAGTATCAGCGCCGCCTTTGGCACCGGGAAAACACTTTTGGCTGCTATCATTGCTGCTCATTATGTGAAGCGCGGGATGGGCCCTATAATAGTCACTACTACCACGAACAACGGGGCTGCACAGTTCACCAACACGATGTTGACCTTGCAGGATTAAAATAATTCAGGTTCGCTTGTGAGATACATTTCGGAGACGGCGTTCCTCGATGACGCCCCGGCTACCCCCGCGGACATCCATGAGATACTCAAATTTCTGGGTAGCCAATTCGATTCGGCATTAGCTTATCAGAACGCATGCTGTGCTCGCGTTTCAGCAGAGGCCGCACCCTGTATGAGCAATACGCTAGGAATCCCGAGCGGTCGATGCATATGTCTGAAAAAGAGATCGAGGAGTACATCCTTCGCGGAAAAGGAAGTCTCAGAGTGCCTTAGAAAGAGTCACGTGTGTGTCAGGTACGACTGCGGATGTTTTGCTCTGACCACAGCATCCCTGCGTGACAACTCGTACGTCGGCGATGTTAATCAGATGCAGCCGCATAATAAATGTCCGAGCTCCGCTAACCCAGCCTTATTTGGAGCACGTAGCGTTATGGAAGTCCTGTCCCAGTCGCCCCTGATACCTCGTGCGACGCTGGTTACCACGTTTAGAGCGCACCCCGCTCTCAGTGCGCTGCCTAACATCTCGTCTTATAACGGTACCTCAATTAGCGGGACCAGAGCGCATGATAGGCTTACGCTACAAGATAGGCCACTTCCCTACCCACGAGTGCCGTTCGCTCTCGTCGATGTGCAAGGCTCTTCCGTTAGGGCGCCTACGCGTTCCTACTTGAAGGAGGACGAAGCTCACGCTTGCATTTCTTTAATTTCCTACCTTTTGCACGCCGCCGTATAACTTCGACGCCGCAGCAGATTTGCGTAAGACATTCTACGCGAAACAGTACCGCCCCTTTTGCAGGATTACTGCCGCTGAGCGCCACATTGAAATCGCTACAGTACGACTCAATCCAGGGGCGCGAAATGGACGCGGTCATACTCTTGACGACGCGTACGGGAATGGAAGGACGGCGTCGACCTTTGTCGACAACCGTCTTCGCCTAAACGTGGCCATCACAAGATGCCGCCACGGGCAATTTATTTTAGGCCAAGTGTAATCGCTCAGGCCGCTTCCGCATTGGGGTACAGTCGTTCGTTGGGGCTGAGAGCATACAAGCGGTCGTGCCGGCTTCGCAACTGAATCAGCTCTTTCCGAGCAGCTGAACAGGGCAGTTTTATTTTTTCCTTTCTTTTCACATAATCAGATGCATCTTTCAACTATTTTCGCTCGCCTCTACATTTCGCTTTTTCAGCCATTACTATCTCTGACTTTGAATTTCGCTTGCTGCTTCCCTACTGCTCCCTTTGTCATTTTATCTTCATGGGCGAGAACTTTCACGAGCGCACGAAGCAACGCCACCCAAACCTCGGCACAACAGAGTAGCCTCGCACGCGACCCGGCGCGGAGACCAAACTGTCATCGCCTCCAGCACCATCAGTTTAGTTTAATCTTAAATCGGGACGGGGGGATGGACTTTTTGTGGTTGAGGGAGGTGTGAAGGATACGGTACGCTAAATCAGCATGAGATGCTTTCCAGGCTGGACGGCAGAAGATGAGCGACGGAGATAACGCGACGACCCGAGGAAATGGCAACAAGGCGAGGGCAGTGGAGATACCCGCGGGGAAGCCGCGAGTCGCGTCATCCGTCCGGACAGCGCCGCCAGTACCATCGTCCATGACCTCCTGCCCTGGGTCAGTAAAAATGGTACGATTCACACCTAATTAAGAATACTCCGCGGATAACTGCGAAGTGACCTCATTAAGGGAGACGGCCTAGGGGTCACAACACCACCCAAACATGTGTACTAGACACGTAGAAATGGCAGTCAAATTGGAAAACCATACAACAAAACAACATGAATAAAGAATATGTATTCAAAAGGGAAAATACTGCCAATCTAAAATATAAAAAACAATCTAAAATGACCCGTTATCACCAATCAACTATCACTAACTAGTTATAACTGAAAGCTTAAGCAAGGTATTAGAAACTACAAAACTACACCTGAACACTTTACTGTGAAACTAAGCGAACAGGAGTGGATGGAAGTCAAGGAGATCCGCATGCTTTCGATGAAAACCTCACGTCTAGCCAAACGTTACTGTCCTCCCTCAAGCAAGTCAGTTAGAGATATGCCCTTCATGTGCCTCCTCTATGACTTTTCAGGAACTCAGGCTACCCCCATACCACTTCGCAGGACCCCTGGTAAAAAGAAACACCTTGAGGAGGGGTTATGGCAGGTATTTAAGCTAGCATAGATGCTTATATTTTGCAGTTTGAACGAACTCTATCAGGAAGGAGCCGGCTGGCCGAAGCAGCTTGTCAGGGGCCCTAGTACCGCGACAAAACCTATTTCTTTCATGACATTGCGAATCACCATGATCCGAAATGAGCCCGGTAAGAAATTCTGGAGCTGCGGCAAGATTTCTTACCTCTCTTAGCGTATTCCCCTGGTCGAGCTATAAATGACTGCCACCTATCCTGGACCTTAAATCATCATCTTGATGACGAAATAATTAGACGATCAACTCCAACTCGAAAGTGAGGTCGCCTCCTTTCTCGACCCGCACTCCGCTGGGTTTTGGCAAAGGAGCATCAAGAAATTTTCTGAGCGTTGAAGACAAGTGGTGGACACTCATGGTAGATATATGACCGGTCAGGAGTTAACAAAAAAGATAGAATTAAAATAGACTGATAGACTCTATTATGTTTATGAATTTGTGTAATAAATGAGTATTTTTCAACTATTATTATGAATGATTTGTTTCCTCAATTAATTGCGTTTTACCTGATTAACAGAGAAGGTCTGGGTGGTGTTGTGACCCCTAAGCCGTCAGCCTTAATGAGGTCACTTCGCACATAGGGTGCGAAAATTTGGCTCGTACCATTGTTTACCCACCCTCCTGCCCCAGATAGCCTCTCATCGCTTTCCTGCCTCGAGCGTAGTCACCATCTACTACATAAACGCTCGGGCGATAACTTCGCTATATCCAGTGTTCCAGTTATGTGCCTTTCGTTCATTATC